AGATGATTAATGACTGGATGGTTTTTTTAAAAGATGAGTGTGGGGGAGGAGGTCTGGACATATGATTGTATATATATTTTTGAAACTATAAATGATATATACACAAGTTACAAATAGTAAAAAATCAATAATTAAGAATAATATTAAACTTTTTTTTATTTCTTTTAAATTAATAAATTATTAATAAGTTTCAAAACATAAATAAAAAAGTATTAAATCAAATAAGATTTGATAAAAAATAATCAAATAACTAAAATCTGAAATAAATAAATTATTTGATAATTTATTTTGTATATAGAAAATTATATTGATAAATGTATTGTTATAAATTTAAATAATATATAATATGTATATTCTAGAATTTTTAATATTAAGTCTTGTATATTTATTTTATTTTTAATATTTCTCTTTCTCTTCTTTTTCCGTCGTTTATTATATTCTTCTCAGTCATCTTATCCTCCACCCATCCTATCTTCCACTTATTCTATCTTTCAAACCATCAACAAAATCAACATAATCAAAATCTTCAACAACAACCAAAAACAACCTCCTTTCTTTCATCCTCTTCCTTTCCCCTTCCTTCCTTTCCCCTTCCTTCCTTTCCCCTTCCTTCCTTTCTACTTCTCCCCTATCCCTCCCCTCCTACTCGCAACCTCCTCAACCCATCACCCATTACCCATTACCCATCACCCATTACCCATTACCCATCACCCATCACCAATCATACCTCCCTATCTCCCTATCTCACTATACCCCCCAAATCTCCCTCCCATTCCCAAACTATCCAAACTATCCAAACCCCTAATCACTACAATTTCACACCTATCTCTTACTTTTTCATATTTCATCCCGTATATAACCATCCCCATTTCCAACTCCGATTACACCTAGATCCTTCATCGGTCCATAACCTCACATTCCCTCTCCCCCACCACTACTTTTAATTAAAATCCATCCAAAACATACATCACCAAACACCATCATCAAAAAAAACATCCCACAATATTAAATCTTACACCAAACCCAAGATATAAGGAATAAAAGTTCAACCTTGAAAATTCAAATCATCCTGGCTTCCCCTCCCCCACAACATCCATCTATCTACCTCCTCGGGCTAACATCCCCTCCATTCGCTTCCCCCTTCATCTCGTTATTCTACATTCTACAATCAATCTATATCAACATCACAATTTCCACTTTCCAAAAAACTGTACAGTACAATAAAATACAATAAAATAATACAATTTCTTCAATTAATTTTGGGAAAACATTTTCTTCTCCTTCCTTAAGTGTTCACTCTTATCCACCCCTCCTCTCCCGTTCCATCTCCTCTCCTCCAAACATTATCCAGCCTCCAACAAGCCATCCCTAGCCCCTTGAACCAAAACCTCCTACCTCAAACACATATATACACACACTACCTAACCGACGCTTCCAACCCCGCCTCCCTAACCAACTTCCAAAATAATCCCCTCTTCTCCATCAATTTCTTCGGACTATCAAATTCCTTGACCTGTCCCTGTTCCAACACTACAATACGATCACTATCCAAGATCGTATTAATCCGATGAGCAATCGTAATAATCGTTCTCTTTGCAAATAATGGACTTCTTAACGTTGTCTGTAAAAGCGCATCCGTTTCAACATCCACTGCTGCCGTGGCTTCATCTAGTACTAAAATATTGGATGGAGTAAGGAGTGCTCGTGCGAGGGAGACAAGCTGTCGTTGGCCTTGAGAAAGATTGGATCCGCTACTCAAAAGAAGACTTGATTAGCTTATTTCTTTCTTTAAAAACAGGTTCTGAGGAAATTGTGTGATATTTTGTGTTGGGACACTTAATAATTCTTGTGTTGCTAAAGGTGGTATTGTGGTGGTGGTAATTTCGGTGAGATTTTAGGACAGGAAGGGAATGCGTGAAAAGAACGGAATCTTTCAATGAAAGATAAACGATGCAATAAAAATTTGCAAATCAAAAATTAAAGATAACGCAGAAAATGCCATGTGATGCTCAATTTTTGTTGGGCAGTAACGTGGTGAAAGGTAGGGCAGAAAGGACGAATGGAAAAATATGGAAACAAGAAGGTGGCAGCGGGAATAGGTTCAGCTTATGATAAGGAAAATGTGTTACGAACCCTTCCTGAATTTTGGCTTCCAAACCACCATTCATAGTCGAGACATGATCTTTTAGCCTTGCATGTTCTATGAGGAAGATTGGTTAGTCAAGATGTTGGTATTACTCGCCGCTTGCAATATATGATCGCTCATATTCCACAAACAACGCCGAGTATCTTCGCCTGGGGTTACACTCACCTAGTACACTCCACAACTCTGTATCATCATGGACATGACCTGGATCAAGATTATCTCGAACAGTACCCTCAAAAAGAGCCGCATCTTGTGGGATAATTGCCAGTCGACGCCTTAAATCAAGTAGCCCTATTGTTGACGTGTTCAATGCATCAATGCTGATATTACCTTCACTGGGCTCGATAATCCGAAATAGGGCTAATGTTAAACTAGACTTTCCTGCACCTGTTCGACCAACAACCCCAATCTTCTCATGTGGTTTAATGTCAAGGTTAATATTCTTGAGCACGAGGTCTAAACCTTCACGGTATCGTGTGCTGTAGTTATTGAAGTTTACTCCACCCGATGCAGGCCAACTGATTGGTGGACGATGTCTGTGAATTACTTCTGGAGCTTCGCTTGGTAATCTAGCGTACTCTAGAACACGTTCAACAGACACGATATTTGTTTCCACTTCAACAGTTTGACGAACAATCCAATTTAAGGATTGTGTGATTTGAAGAGCATATGACATTGCTAGTCCGACAAGACCAGAGGACAAATCACCACCAGCACTTACAGTCACGATGGCGAATCCGGCGGCAGATAAGATAATGAGTGAACCGAGAAACTCGAGTCTTACAGCAAGCCATCTGCATGTCAATGATGTCAGTCTAATGTAACGTTCCAATACTCTGGGATATCAAGTAATTGGTCTGTGCCTGAGTAATCGACTCATGAAGAAATAGTTTTACTTCTAGGTGATCACTAATCACGTGTGTCTGATCATGGAGTGTGGATTAAAGTACAAAGTTACAAAAGGTGGGCATGACATACCGGTTACTATTGATAGATGGGAAGTAAGCTCTCAAATTAGCGTCTACTCTCCATTCATTTTCTTGTGTAAATCGTTGTTGTTGACTAAAGCATGGACAAATTAGTATCCTGACTTGTATTGAATAATCTCCGTTTCCGAGGCTTCAAGCTTCAAAAACCGAGTTGGTGGGTTAGGCAAACGAGAGCGTCTGTCATTTCTTACCGATAAGCTCGGATCGTGCCGATGCCTCCAAGGGACTCCTGGAAGTGAGCATAGATTGGACTTCGGCTGACACTATCCAAGCGCTTCAGCTCACGGGAAGTACGGAGATAATAACGCTGCACCCAGTAATACACGCCTGACAGCGGGATGATCAAAGCGATAAAGGCTGGGGTAGAAACAGAAATGACGACTAGGGTAAACAATGCCCGAGCTGTGTTAACGAATAGCATGTTGAATGTTCTCGCAAGTACCTAATACGGATTAGAACATGTTAAAATATAGGGTTATACTTCAATTACTTCATCTATCCGATAAACGTCACTAAGTTTGCACTCGTTAGCTAGTGGCCTGTGCAAATCCGACCTCGGGATGAAATGTAATACAGCATTCAAGCAACAGATTGAAGCCTGGATATGATGCATATGCATCATGCACCGGTGCAGCCCAAGATACGGGATAATACTCTTAAAAAGGGTGCCGGCAGATCACACCGATCGCAAATATCTGCTACAAACAAAAACATATGAAGAAAAATTATTACCAACATACCTTGAAAAGCGATTTAGAATTCGACCAGCTGGAGTAGTTTCAAAAAAGGACATTGGGGATCGGAAAATGGCAAAAGCCATTCGCTCATGCAACTTTCTCGAGGCCTAAATGAGTAATATGTTAGATTCCGTAGCTGCTTCTGCATAATGCGGGAACCCGCTGCCCCGCCGGGAAGTCATACCTCGATAGAACAAAAGATCCACAAGATCAATGTTTGGATCACAACAAGAGCTGCAGACCCAATGCCAAAAGCAAAGTACACACCAATATACTTGCCGACATCTCGGTTAATACCAAGTTTGTCATTGGCCTCAGCCCAGCTTTTGAGCCATACGCTGCCACCTGTGAAGAATTAATAAAAGCACGTCAGGTGCAGGTGAAGAGGGAACCCACTGATCTGTGCCGTTTGTGCACCAACCAACATAGCTAAATAAATTAACACTGCTGCAAGATTGCTAGTCTTAGCATATTCAGCATACACTAATTGAAATTAATATCTCTTGCCATAGTTGTGGATTTATGTTTGCCTACCATCCCATTTGACCTTTCCTTGTTCGGAATGTTCCTTGCCTTGTTTGGATTTCAGTGGATCTTCCTCGTCGCGAAGCTTGCCCCTAGGGCCTCTGAAACTAGCTGTGCTGGCACGTCTTAATGTATTAGAGCTTCCCTTCCTCTTTTTGACGCCTGATCCTCCAGGCCTGATGGGTTGGAGTTGTGTCAAATGTTCTTGAGCTTCCTCGGCCTCATCCTTTGCCTCCTCTTCTCCAGGCTGCTCATAGTCAAGTATGGTTGAAGAATCGCTGGCCTCAGTGGTCTCAGAATCTGTGGACACATCCTTGTTCTCGGATGTGTTAATTAAGTTTGCGATTTCTCCTCTTCTGGCGATGGCCTGATCATACGTGCCGCGCTCGATGATCTTGTTATCTCGAATCAAGCAGATAAGATTTGCCTCTTTCAAAACAGGAATGGAGTTTGTAGCAAGAACTCTAGTCTTTCCGCTGAGTAGCCCGGTTGAACCAAAGACATTATCAATCAAATGTCTACCAACATGTTGATCGACGGCGGATAAACAATCGTCAAGTAGATATATATCAGCTCTAGCGTAGACTGCTCTTGCTAAAGTCAATCGTGCTTTTTGACCTCCACTCAAGGAAATACCACGCTCCCCGACCTCAGTTTCGTCACCATCCGGCAATTGAGCAAAGTCATCTGTGAGTGCACAAGCCTTGACAGTTTTATCGTAAAAGGTAGGGTCAAAACGATGACCAAAGAGGATATTTTCTTTAACACTAGCGTTCATAACCCATGGCTGTTGTGCTACATAAGCCGTTTTTCCGTGAACCACTACCTGTCCCTTCACTTTCCAAAGATCACCAAGAAGTGCTTGTAGGAAAGATGACTTCCCTGCTCCAACTCGGCCGACAATACAAGTGAGTTCTCCTTTGTGTGCAGAGAAATGAATATCTTGCAATACATGGCGGTCCGAGTTTCTGTCCCATGAGAAGGATGCATCTCGGATTGTTAGAGACTCTTCACCATCGTCCTCAATGGGTCCCTTCAAGATGACGGCGTCAGGTTGCAACTCTTCAGCTGTGAAGAAAGAAGTCAAGCGCTTGACGGCGACGGAAGCCTCAATGATGGAGGTAATGACCATTGGAAGAATTGCCAATGGGAATGTCAACAAATTGAGCAAAGTCAAAGTAGGAAACACGATATCAGTAGTTAGTGGGCTATCATTAGTCAACACAAAAACGGCGAATGTCGAACAAGAGACCAAGAATGGGGTAGTAGACCAGGTGAAATTGGCAACTGATTGAGCAGCGCCAATCTTTCGCAAAGTCTTCAGCTCCTGGTCATTTCTTACAAAATTCAATTTGGCCATAAAAGCGGAGCTCCAAGCATAGAGCTTGATACTTTTCATGTTGTTGATGATCTCAGCGATCAATCTTGTTCGAGAATCCTTATTCTTCATTTGTTCCTGTTGTAACTTCTTCATCAGGCGAGCGATTAGACCATTGATGGGGATCATTAGAATCATAGCGGCGACACCAGCCAACATGGATAATCCGACTAGCTGATATAAAGATATCATGCAGAGGAGAATTTGATATGGAGCGGACCATAATTGCTGACCATATTGAGTGAGATCTTGTAATCTTTGTGTATCAACAGCCATATAGTTGACAATATCTCCAGTAGACTTGCTAGCTCTTCCTTCATTTGATAATTTAAGTGATTTTTTGTAGATTGCTGCCGTCAAGGCTGTTTTGATACGCATACCAGTTTCAAAGGCCCTTTGAAAGTATTGATGTAAGGCCATAGTTTGTCCTACAGAAACAGAGAACATAGCCAAAGCTATAGCAGCTCCTCGAATTACAGGCTGAGGTTCATCGCTTGAGCGTGACTTGACCCATTTGATCAACAGCTTTAGAAGTTGCGGCTGGATGAAGGCGAGCGAATCACTGACCGTCTTGAAAAGAGCGCCACGGAAATATGGTCCGCTGAAAGATCTGAAGATAGCGACCCAAAGAGATGGATTTTTCTTATGTTCAATCTCATATTCCCAAGACTCCTCGAATGTTTCGCTGCATGCTTTCGTGGTGTCCCTTTTGGCCAAATTCCACAAATCATCCTCGGTCAAATATTTCTTGTAGCCTTGTTTCATCATAGGGGTCATCCAACCGAACGTGAGGATCGAAAATACCGTGGCATACTCGACAGGGCATTCGTCTTCATCCTCCAATGCGGAATATACACTCTGCTTCTTTGGCACAAGCCACTCCAAACCAAATTCAATCAACGATAACCCGAATCCAATACAGTACGCGGTGAAGTATGGAAGATGCTCATGGTATATTTGTTGGGATATCAATGATCGTAGCTTGACAGTGTATGCGATATTAAGGAAGAGCCAATAAAAGAGTACAACGCCGTTTGGATTTCGCAACCGGGTATGTTCGAGCCATTGTATGCTAAACACAACACCAAGAGATGCGATTTGTAGAAGACTGGTCCAAAATCGAAAATCGCCCGCCCAAACATCAGGATAGTTCAGTATTTGTATAACGAGTTGCGCTGCGACTGAGATTGTGATTCCTATTAGAATGGCCTATTGACCGCCGCATAAGCTTTTTTCCAACCACTTCATTTCCCCAAACCTTCCAAACCAAATCAAGAGAGAAAACCGTACCTGCTTGAGCCAAAAATGCCAATCCTTTTTAACTTCCGCCGTGGTCTTCTTTTTTACCAGCCACCATATGGCTATAGCACCTCCCAATATTCCAAAAGCCGCGACAGAGCTCACCCACACATCCATAAAACATGGTGTAAAGTCATAACGATGAGGACTCAGTGGACCCCATCCCTCCTTGTTACCGCATAGCGGCTGCGGTCTCGATTTATCCGCCGTAAGATATCCGCTACCAAGCTGCTCCTGCAATGCGCGGAAACCAGAGAAGGAGCCTGTCTTGAGGATGCTCTGCGATGAGCTAACGACCATGACCGATGCGTGATAGACTTGTATACTTTGTGTACTGAATCCCTCGTTCGATAGACGATAGAGGTTTCAGAGGTGATGATATTTGTGTATGGAAGAATAATTCATTCGTTCTGTGACACAATCAATGATGGAAGTGGCAGAGGTTGAATGGTTTTGTTCTGATGGGTACGGGACAAACCACGGATTTAAGCTTTGACAGACAGGTGAGATCCGATTCCCTTAAACCTTACAAAGCAACCAAAAAAAATGTTTGAAGATAATGCGCCCCGATACGAATTTATCAAATGTCGGTCTGATAGTAATGTATGTAATGTATCCGTGATCAATGTGCTCTTTCGAAACACTATGAACCTTTAGATGATGATTACAGTACTCATACTCGTGTGCATGAAGTTGTCATTACTGGCATTGGCTTTCGAGTAGTTGAGCATAATTTTCAATCTATGATCATTCATCGTACTCAGACGTCATTGGACCTGGTCCCTATCATATAGAAGCATTTTCTGTACGTAAGTTTTTGGTTACACATCTATATCTGTCTATCTATACCTGCCCCATGCGTATAATGTGAAATGGAAGTGCTCTCAATAATTGCTCTTTTGATATACTCAACTACCAATTGAATAATAAATGTATCTAAGATATAATGTAGGTAATGAATAGAGAAGATTTTCTAATTTGTAATTCTGGATATCCGGTGAAAGTCACAGATGTTTATCAGGAGGGTCCAGTCAAAGCTAGAACCTTTCCCGTATGCATCATGATCCGATCTTCAAGGATGTTAGGTACTGTAGTGGGGCAAGAATGTGTGTACCTGAATAATGAATAGCTTTGTATCTGCAGAAACCACATTTGAGGACGAAAAAGATGTACTTAGGATTTGTTTCTTAAATAAGAAGTTGGATAAGAAAAGATTATCTCAAAACGCCATAAGCAAAAAGGTAAGGAAATGTCCCTAATTTTCGATCTAAGGATAATCCTCCCACTATTTCCTGTTAGAAAACAGGAGACTATAAAGCAAAGCTACCGACCGTCTCCAAAATCCTTGGTTCTCCCAAACGCGAAAGAATAAAAAGCGGTAAGTCAACACTAAAATGCCTGACACAACTGTTTGTAAAGGGTATCATCTTAGCGCAGTGTGACCAACAATGTAGGAGAAGGCCGCCCAACATTCTCAAGACTCCATCATCTAGTTATCTGAAGGACCTGCATCTTCCTTCTTGGGTGCCAATCCAGCACTCTGACATGTCTTCTTCCATGTCTCAACCTCTCGCCAGGCTCTCTCACATTCCGTCTTCAACTTGTCATTGCTTGCACTGAGCTCTGCAATGGCTTGTTCAGTCAGAAGCTTCTCGAGTGTCCATTTCTCAATGTTTTGAGTCTCGTTCTCCTTGAGTTGGGTGATGAATTGAACAGCTCTCTGTAAGATCGATCCTTTGTTCTTCTCACACCCTGGTACAATCTTGGCTAACTCATTGATGCCTTCATTGATGGTTTCTCGGCGGCGCCTCTCAACTGGGAGTAATCAGCATAAGAAAAGAAAAGGGGAAAGTATAGGAAGAAAATTACCTTCTTTGTGGTTGTCCTTTCGGACCTTATGCCATTCATCAGAACCCACAACAGGCTTTGAACCAGAACTTCGATTTTGCGGTTGGTGTTGCTGTTGCGAATTATCCATGAAGCTGTTGTCCGGTTGCTGGCTGTTATCCATGAAAGATGTATCCTGGTGGCGATCGTTCTCCGATGCTTGAGAAGCAAAAGAGACATCTGTTGGTTGTGGAATGGTCATGGTTGGATAGATTCCAGCAAGTGCCGCAGCGGCAGTAGAAGAGGCGTTGGCATGATCTGCGGCACCATTTTGATGGTCGGGATGAATTTGCTGGTTGTGTTGAAGGTTGGCATAATTTTGCAGGGCTTCTACATCACCGATCTGCTGATTGACCAACGATTGGTCATCGGGGTCATTACCAGAATTCGGGGAAACACGCTTGTTGTTAAGTCGCCTCGTGTCATCAGCTGATTCGGAGTCCCGCTTCCGCTTTTGTGTAGTGTTGCTCATATTAGCATTCTCTTCTCGCATAGCATTTGCTACTTCCTGCAATCCTGAATGTTCAAGGTCCATGTCTGCCATTGCGATAATCTGGTGTCCTCGTGACGAGCCTTGCACGATGATTTGTGGGGGATTTGAGGAATTAACAATCGTAAGGCGCAGATGACCTCGAGGGGTTGGTAGATAGATTTAAGGCTGAACTTGATCTTTCGCGATTTAATGACGTGTCTACCGAGGCTGGCACAGGTGCAACAAGAGTGGTCTTCTAGTGCAGAGGGTACGGCTGCTACGGAAGCAATGAAGACGTATCGGTGACTCGCTCTGATGCTTCGAAGCGCTCAGCTGCAGTAGTTCGTCGCCGTGATCTTCGAAACGAACGTTTTTGTGTCCTTCGAAGTCGTACCTACAAGGTCAGCACGTGTCATTGCAGATAAAGTATCACATAGCAATTCAATCAATCAACCACTTTTTGATAAGAAAATGAGATATCAATAGAAATTTGGGTGTTGTGGAGGTTGCGCTCTCTCTTGAAATGCTGCGACTCCCGATTGATAAATCATGATCATGAATCAAGCCTTTTCGTTGATATAGGTACAACAATTATTGTACTTTACTTTAATTGTTGTACTAGAGCAAACAGGAATATTGTAATTTTGGTGATCATCGCAGGTAATAGTGCAGTTACAATATGATATTGATATTGACGCTGCTCTGCGAGATATGACCAAAATCATGGGAGGAGGCATTTTCTGTGTGTTTGCGGATCTGGTGATTTATGAATTGCAGATGTTTTTGACCAACGGTAATGTCCGAACAATCCTTGTTGCGTGGAATTGAACACCGCAAAGGTTTCACGAAAGATAACCTATTTATTTTCTCATAAATGTGCAGTGGCGCTTCTGACAACTTGTAACGGATGGATGCGACGGACAGGCACAGATTTGAAAATAAATTTGATCGATCTTTGGCGCTTTTTTGTTTTGGGTGGATGGGTGTGGAACTTGATTATGAAATTTCACGCACCTTTTTTTATTTTATGACCTAAGGTCGGTAGGTCAGTGGTGATCGGTGGTGATGGTCAGTGGTCGGTTGTGCTTTTTTGTTATCTTCTTCCTTTCTTTGTCCGAGGCTCTCGAGAATGCGACAGAAGTGATTTTGATATTGTTATATCCCCAATCACTCGACTTATTGATGAAAAAAAGAGGCCAAAGCTATGAGATTATCAGCAGAAGACTTTATTGATTATGATTAATAGATTCATTTAGATGATATCCTTTCATTGGGGACGGGGAAATATCAAAATACACACCAGGTCAGATGATGTTGTCAATTGATCACGAGTGATCAAAACTGCAATGTCACGAAAACAAAGGTTGAATATCCTTACTAGGTTATGAAGGCCGGACTGAGACAGAAGAGAACACCCTCAGGCAAATGGATTGTAATTCAAAAATACGAGAACGAAGTTACTTGTCTTTGGGAGAGGTTCTTGAAGTTCTTGTGTTCTTGTTGATGGATGGATGGATACACGTGAAGAAAAGATCATGTGGAAAGGTAAAAGAGCGAGAGTCCGTGAAGAGATTATGAGGGGCTTCGTGAACGGCTAGGTTGTAAGAGGTTAGATTGATAATAGATTTATGCCTCAGGTTCATATTTGGAAAACAGGTAAGCACTAATTCTCTTGGGTTTCATTCGGCAGATGGTAAAGTTTTTATTCCGTCACATGTCTGTGCTTGAGCACTTTGGTGCTTGGCACGTGTTTGGTAGCGATTAATCGTACATGATTACGATAAGTCTTACTATGTATTTCATGTGATATCAATCGACTTTAACGGTTAAGAGCAAATCTTTATGGCTTAATCCGACTTTGAGTGCGTTGCGAAGATAGTAGACTATCAAAAGCAGATTACTTCATAGTCAGCAGTGCCACCGCTATTCTCTTTGCATCATACAAGGAGAGCGAGCTTATGTGAGGTAATTTTAGGTACGGGATACATAATGCTGAAAACGCATCCTTCATATTAAGAAATCCTCAAGTGATTCGCAAGTTTCTTTTCCATTTCCTTTCCACAACATCCCACATATTAAACCTTCTCTACTTTAATCTCCACGATTCGCTACAATAGCTTTTCTAGAGACGATCTACCTGCTTGCTTCAAGTAGTGGCCAGTGATTACTAGAAGAACAAATCTAGCAGGGAGAAAGTGAGGAATAATCCAGTACAGTCAGATGTGAGATTTCTCGATCTTTGAATCTATTTCATCTCTTGAGAATGCTTTAGTTTTTTGGTGAATATTTTGTTCTAGATATATTCAATATTTGACATGGTTTCCAGTATTGACATGATTGGACACGCTGGGGGTAGATGAAGGAGGAGGCGGAGCAAATGTATACGTAGGGACAGATGAGGAGGGCTGGGGATGATAAAGTTGAGAATAAAAGGAATGAACAGGAAGTGGTGGAGAAGGATATGAAGGGGAAGAATAGAAGGGGAGAAGGCGGAAGAAGGGAGAGAAAGGAGGAAAGGAGAAATCATCAGAGTGGGTGAGTAGGGAAACAAAAGGGGAAGGGAGGTGGAGAGGGGGAGGAAAGGGGTGGTAAAGTAGTGAAATGAAAGTTATGTTGTTACTCAAAAGAATTCCGAGAGTAGAACCGAGGAAGAAGAAATCAGAAGTACGGGCATCTTACCGAGATATCACAGTGCGAGTAAATCCAGAACCTTATCTATCAATATCACATCTTATCCTTCTCCAGAAATCACCTTCCATATGATCCAAAGTAAGGAGAAACATGAATCCAATAAGATAGTCTTACCACAAAAGAACATAGCCATCAAAACCCCAAAGATGTAAAGACACACCGAATCCATTTCCGTCCATCATCTACATTCTACCCTTCATCTACTCAATTTCACCTTGCACTTTCATCCATAATTATATTTAAACAACTTCCTCCTCTTCTAATTTCTGCCCCTTATTCAATGAACACGCCTCGCATCTGCACTTTTCGGTATTCTCTCTAATGCGATTAATTACCGACAACCACGATTCCCTACCACAATCCGTCTGATTTGCAAGATATGGAATCCCACCATAAAAGCGAAGGGAGAAGGATAGGTGAGAGTGGGGAGGTTTGGGTGCGGGCTGTACATTAGCAGTAGAACTTGGATCGGTCGCCGGTGTTGTGAAACGGGTGGTTGAGGGTTCGTACAAGTAGGCAGAGAAGTCTACTAAAAGGAATCTCTGAATCAAAGAATATAAACTGATTGCAGGTGCTGGCTGGTAGATGGAGAGATGGGAGAATAACGGTTATGGGTATGACATGGTTGTTAAAGATTTGGTGTAATGATTGAGGAATGATGAGATTGTCAGGTTGGATATATGGAGGACGGAATCTTTGACTTTTCGAGGTATGCGGTTGGAGTAGAAATAATACTTATGCAGTAAAATAGATGGTGATGGATTAGTCTGCCGGCAAATGGTGTGTTCAAAGTAGAAGGGATTGATAAAGAGAAGAATATGAATAACGAGGGGATAGCAAAAGTTGGGGTTGTGAAGGAAAATAGAAAGCTGGCGAATACAAAATCATACTTAGAAGACCAGCATTGGATGATCATCTCGATATGAATACTAATATTTTTAGCTTAATTATCCGAGAAAAATCGTTGTTTCTCTCGTAGTTGCTATAGGCAAGGGGCTCAGTTATGCATACTGAAGCATCGTTAATCGGGGAGTAGACTTTCTTTCCTTATACTACGGGGTTCAATTTTTTGAATATGGCTTCCCATCTCAAATCTCACGAAGTCTAAGAACTGATGTGTAAAATGTTAGGACGTGTAAAAGTGTATTAATGAAAAGGCTGTAGAAGCAGCAGTCTGTTTCCAGGCTTTCCCCTAACATGAACGATGAACATAGTTACGGAGCGACGTGTATCCGATGAAAAACCTGGGAGATGTGTTTCAAGTATTGAAAAACTCAAATGGCTTGCTTTTGATATAAGTACAAAGAATAATACACATGAGCATTACAAGAAAGAAGGTCGGATGGAGGTATAGTTCACATCTCCATGCTTTTGTGGGTAGATTAAATGGAATATGCACTGGCATCATTTCGGATTAATGATCTTAAATGTGTTGATAATCACTGAGGGACAAGTCGCACACTTGAATAGGCGACCTACTTCATTCGCCCGAACTCGAAGCATATCGTGGTACTGGTCAATAGTTTGTGCGATTGGATTCGCTCCCTAGCACACCTGAGCATATATGAGAAGAGCTTCCAAGGGCGCGGTATCTTACCATCCACAAAATTCATGAAGCTGGAAAGAACGGTGCTGTAGATAGTATGCGGGCGATATAAGGTGTCTCAAGAGTAAGTTTGTACTCACGAGGGAAAATGCTTCTAATAGAAAGGAACAAGGGTATTGAGAAGGGTCTAAGATATGCCTTTACAAGGCATTTGGGAAATATAAAGATGACTGCTAAAAGTAGTATACTTTGTATTTGAAGTCGGAATGTGAGAGTACTGGTACCATATCTTTCAAGCTCTAGGAATCTGTCTGACACTGCAGTTTTCAAGCCGAGGAACCTCGTGGATACCTCGCACCATGCTCAATACACCATCTTCTGGTCTCGCCATTCAAGACCATGTAAGAACTACTTGTCAATCGTGCAGCACTTCCTGCAGGTCTCTTTAAATCCATATGCTTTCGTGTTTTGCTTCATTGATTGCGGAAGGAAGCTAGGATTACAGCTGAGATGACTAAAAGTGACTTTTGATTTATATTTGTAATTTATACACTAGATGTATAGAAATTATGTCGGATTATTTCATTATGCGAACAAATTATATTTTGACAAACAGAAGTATAAAATAATATAAAGTTGTTTTTAAACTAAATTCAGAAGTCTTAGAATTCCGCATTTATAAATGAAACCGTATGACATGCTATCAACATCGTACTTGGTTCTAAAAGCTATCCGTAAATGATTATCGTGCAGTACGTTACGTACCGACCGATAAAGCTCCAACGTCAGTAATGTGTAGATACGGATTTGAGAAATTAAGAACATATTTACATACTTATTTGCTACTCCACCCACTCAAAGTATCATAAACTATCTCCAAATACCCATACATTATTCTATCCTTGATAAATTAGCATTTACTAAAGAGACAATCCTGGATCAGTTTGAGTATTCATTATCCATTTGAGTAAAGCTGTGACATCCGCCACTGCTGGCTCGGAGCTATTCATATCTACATTTCTTCTCTATCTCTATCTCACTGTTTATCTTCTCAACATAACATTTCCTTTATACTCTTGCAGATTCAAACTCACTCGCAATGGCTGATATAATAACTACCAAGCTAAATCCCGACACCCATCTGATTCTTGTAATCATCCCATCTCCCATCCATCCATCCAGCTAGCTAATCACATCATAGGACCAACCACTTCTCCGCCTTCCCCTCGAACTTCTCCGCAAAAACTTCAAAGTTGTGCACTTTAACCTCGAAAAAGAAAGTGCCAGCGTAAAAGCCACACTCCGCGAAACCACCGACGCATCTCTAAATCAAAATGCCTCTCCGGACGATATTCTCAAAAATGTTGATTCCATGTTATCCCGGATGCGAGGTCTAAAGAGGAAACTACAATCATGCGCCGAAGAAGAGAAGAGACTTCAGGAACAATCCGCGGCGAGGATAAAGCATTTGAGTGCTTTATATGAGATGAAGAGTTTGGACGATGTGAAATATGAAGAATGGAGTCGGACACGACTGGATCGTTTATTAGTGGATTATTTATTGCGGAATGGCTATAAAGATAGTGCGACTGCTTTGGCGAAAGAGAAGAATATTGGACAATTGGTTGATGTGGAAACTTTTGTCCAGATGAGTAGGATTAGAGATAGTCTTTGCAATGGCAAAGTTGCTGAAGCACTGGCGTGGTGTTCGGAGAATAAGAAAGAATTGAGGAAGATGGAGGTAAGGATGCGAACTGCATATCTCCATATATATACTGATTTGTTTCCAGAGTAACCTCGAATTTATGCTTCGTTTTCAACAATATGTCGAGTTAGTACGAACACAGGATGAGGCGAAGCTAATTGAATCGATTACACATGCAAAGAAGTACCTATTGCCATTTCGAGAGAGCTACCCCAAGGAAGTGCAACAAGCATGTGGACTTCTTGCATTTCCTCCTGGTACAAGGGCTAGTGGTTATGGAGTATGTTATCGTTCTTCACTTAATTCTATATTCCTAACATATTTCAGGAACTATACAGTTCAACCCGATGGACAGATTTAGCCACACTCTTCACAGAAACTCACAACACCCTTTTATCCCTTCCATCCGTCCCTCTACTACACATCGCTCTCTCCGCGGGTCTGTCAGCTCTAAAAACACCAACTTGTCATTCCTCCCATATTTCCTCCGTCTCTCCTGCTTCTACTACTGCAAACACTACATCAGTCTGTCCTATTTGTAGTATCGAACTTAATGATCTCGCTCGCAATATGCCATATGCACAACATACTAAAAGTCATGTCGAAAGTGATTTGGTGCTTCTTCCAAGTGGATATGTATATGGAGAACATAGATTGCAGGAACATGGTAGGAAGATGGGTTTGGCGGAGGGTTTATATAAGGATTTGAGAACGGGAGATGTTTATAGGAAGGAGGAAACGAAGAAAGTTTACATCTCTTGATTTGGGTAATAAGTTAAGTAAATGATGGATGCTTTTCTTCAAGTGGTTGATTGCGGGAATTTGGAGTTAGGTGTATAGTATTGGGATGGGAGTTTGAATTATGATGTCTTTGTATTCGAGAGAGCAGTCTATCCTATGGTTGAATGTATTATGAAGTTAGATGACACTGCTCTTCCCCATCTATATATACATAAGTTCAAGTCCCATTTCTTCTTATATCTTCCGTCTATATAAACGTAAGTCCAAGTCCCATTTCTCTTTATATCTCCCCCATGATGAAGAAGACGAAGAAAGAGAAGGATGAGGGAAGATTCGAAATCAATCACATTACAATACAATATATTAAACGCTATTAATCATATAATATTAAATAGATTTTATTTCCTCCACTTCATAATCTTACATCCACCTCCTCCACCTATCCTTTGCTTCCTTTGAAGTTTACATCGCCATACATACACAACTCCATATCTATTTAAAATCAAAAATTAAAATGCTTTATAAAATCATATAATTAATTAATATAATCTTACCTAATCTTAATTATCTACCTACCTATCTACCTACCTACCTACCTACCTACGTACACAGTACAACAATTAACAATTCAAATATCTAAAATTCCAAATCCGCAATTCCAAATCCCAAATATCTAAAATTCCCAGAGAAAGTTTTTAAAGATTAGTTTAATAATTCATAATTATTAATTACATCATCTATCATCATGGTTATAATATAAAATAAATATCTATTAAAAACCTACCTGATACCTAGTACCTACCTACCTATTAACCCTCACACCACCCTCTCACTCCGCTTCCCCTCGTATCAATATCTAGTATCTAGGTTTCTCTTTTACTTCCAGTGCCTGCTTCACTCACTCATGCATCCATCCATTCATCCATTCATAAATCCATAAATAAATCCATAAATCCATAAATAAATAAAATCAATTAATTAATAAATTAAGCATCAAGACATGAATCCCTCATGAGACATAACGTCAAATTTCATCAATCACCTCTTCTTCTTCTCCTTCTTCTTCTTCTTGTTCTTGTTCTTGTTCTTCTTCTTTTTCTTTTTCCTGCATCCTTCTTCGTCTCCGTCTTCCTTTCCCTTTCTTCACATTATCTTTCTTTCTTCCTTTTCTCCATTTCCATTTCCATTTCCACTTCCACTTCCACTTCCACTTCCACTTCCTCTCCATCCTCATTCCTCTCCATCATTCTCAAACACTTCCGACCCTCCCCCTCCCACAAAAACCTTTCCCAAGAAAGCAGAACAGAACAGAACAGCAACAGCCCATCCATCCATTCATGATCTCGCAATCTCAGTAGTATATAAGCAAGTATCGCAAGTATCAACGCCCAATTCCAATTCCAATTCCAATCAAGCCATTTCAAATGCATTAAACAGATCCATTATTTCTTCTCTTTCTTTCTTTCTTCCTTCCTTCCCGACTGCTTACTTACTTACTTGCATGCTTTTAATCTCTCCTCCAAAACGCCTGTGCGATAAAAAAATGTAAAGGGGGTATAAATTGCTTCTCTTTCCTCTTCTCTTCTCTTTCTTCTTCTCCTCTTCCTCTATTCATCACTTTTACACAATGCATCTTTCATCGTATATCCTCTCATATATTACATCAACCACTATTAACACCACTATCACCACCATTCGATCTATGAAACACTCTCCATTTGATTATTCCTTTGATTTGTAGTTGAGAATTCCGATTCTGGTGGGATATCTATATTTTGAGTATGTGCCGATATTCCAGAATTTAATTCTTTTCTGATTCGGGGATTGTTGCTGCGACTCACTGCAAATTTCCGGACTCACCTCTGTCCATTGCTATCGAGCTATTTGCC